TCCGATTCTAGCTCAACGCCAACCCCCTAATCAGATGTGTATAAGAGACAGATATAGGCCTGCTCTGAAATTTCTGCCTACGACTTTCAGGATTTAAGTAAAATGTATGCAACTTATCAAAAACTAATTTTATTTATTTTTTATTCTTTTGAATGAGCAATTGTAATGTGATGGTCACGCATTTGGTATCGTGCCTTCTCCAGAGAACTGAAAAAAAATTATTTCCATTACACAATGAATGAAAACAATGCTGCTTCGACTAAAAGCTTTTATCATGTCCATATATGGTCACATCACACAAATTTGTTACATAAATTTGCTTGTCCTTTGTCTGTATTTTAAAGTTTGCTGGTGAAATGAATGAAATGAAATACTGTGCCAAGTTCAAAGCTGATTATACTATGTAAAATGAGCTATTTGATGTTTAAGTCAAATTTACAGATATTTTCCATGTGAAAGATGGTGCAAATTTAACCTACCTTTCCATAATCTAACAAATCCATCATCACTAGATGAAGCAAGAATAGTTCCAGTTATATTCCAACTAATCCTCCACACCTACAAGGTACAAAGATACAGACAAAATGAACTAATATCTGATTGCGTGTTCGACGAAAAACTGTTGTATGCCCATATTCAGTCATGGTGTGCCTCTATATGGTCATGATGTGATGTCATCATGACATCACAACAATATTTTAGGCATGTTACATGTTTATTCCGAAATCTACCATTGTTTTTCACAAACACGCCTAAAAAATGGCTGCCATCTACGAAGCATTCCTGGGGAGTTTATAGAGGCTTTTTTGATGAATAAAATTTAAGTTGAGGAGGTAAATGAAATGACAGTTATAAAAGTAAAGATGCCTCTGTAGGCCTAATGTAGGTGAGCAACGGACTTTTCCGGCGCGTCAATCGAACTTAACAAATGACCAATCACAACAAGGCCAGGAATACATGCGTGTCTCGCATACAGGTTATTTCACATATGCATACGTTTGAACGTTTGGATATGTTTTTTACACTGTCGTTTGGGGTACCTTAGCGACTACATCCAAGGAGCTTAGCAGGGAAGTCCATCGACAGGTTATCCTAGGTGAGTTAAATGAGATTTTTGGCAAAGTACATAATTTAATTAAGTGGACAAGCATCATGGATTTGCATGCTTACAAATAAATAGTACACTTGGGCCTGAAATGTTTAAATAATACGTTTTGTGTTTACCTGTCTGTTCTCGTGCTCTAAAACACCAGACTGACACACCTCTAGCCTTGTAGCTCCAGCCATAGTACCTGTGTGCTCCGACCTATTAAGAAAAAATAATAGATAAACAAAAATTATTATTATAAAAACATTAATCTGAAAATTAAAATAAAATTATAATTATTAAAAATATTAATGTTGTTAATAATCTGCAATGGGTTAATTGATATATAATAATGACATAAAAAATATGTAAATTTGAAATACCAATTAAACAATTAATAAAAATACAACAAATATATATATATTTTCTGACAGAATATTCTACCTTAAGGGTTTCAATGTTGTGATTTTGACATCTTTGGAGGCAACAGCCAGTGTGTGGTATGAACGTCCTAAATTGGGTGCAAATGCCACATCGTGTACTGCCTCTGTTATGTTCATCAACGTCTCTACTTTATTCCACTTCCTAAATTTAAAAAAAATGTGAACAAAATTAATATATTAGCATACCTATAATAATCTTGTGAAGTCATCTTTTCAACATCCTCATTGTACTCATCATTATCATTATCATCAGCACCACCACCACTGCTGCCACCTCCATCATCATTATAATCTGTAGGCCAAAAAGGGAGTTTGTGTTCCACGAACCCGACAGACCCAAAATCACAAAAATAAGGAGGATAGGCCTACAGTATGTTACAAAAGGGGAGAGACACACACCAGTTGTAATAATCATTATTGTAATCAACATTACCACTATCACCAACCTCATCATCATCAACAACATTAACCCTGCCGCCTCCAACATCATGGTAACTATGGTCACTAACTACACTTGACAAATAGTCAATTTCAATTTATTCAAGATTCCCTCTAAAAATGGAGAGTATATACAAAAGCAAAACAAAACATCACTACACATCAAAATACATAAAATCATGCACATTGGAATGAATAATTCCAATGTGGAATTCAATAATATTCTAACTACAATATATATATACACACACACGCACGCACGCACGCACGCACGCACGCACGCACGCACGCACGCACGCACGCACGCACGCACACACACACACACACACACACACACAC